GGCCTGGGGGAAGAGGTGTGCGGGCAGCCTGCCCGGCCCTGCCGGGGGTAGCTGGTGCGCTGGTAGCCCCGGGAGCTGCCTGTGTTCTCTCTGTTTCCTCTTGTGGCAGAGGAAACCAGTGCTGATGTAGTGGCGTGTTTAGAGGCGTTAAGAGAGGCCATCAGAGAAACGTGTTTTGTGTGTTTGCCCCGGTCCCGCTGTGTTTACCGCCGTGGATAGTTCAGAATTAGTCAGAAGGAGCAGGATGGAGAGAGAGCGGGAAGCTAAGAAAGGAATTTCTACAGGAAGAAGATGGGAGTGTGAAACCAGGAGAGAAAGTCGCTTGGTTTTTCTGTCCTTTCTTACCAGCGGGTAAGGTGCTTGGGCTAGTGTTAAAATACTCTGTAAAACACGGGTTTGTCACCTGAAAGGATAACTTTCTGCCATGTTGGGAACTTAATTCAGCACCTGTCTCCATTTGCTTTGTCTTACCTAATTTCTCATTTCTCTGTTTTATCTAATCTTAAAATGTTTTGACAGAAACGTTATAGGAGAATTCAATATTTGTGGCTAATAATGCTGGCTTGGGGCTGGACAATGGTATATATGATGGATTTTTGGTGTGCCATCATAATGTTTTGCAGACTTCTTGTTTGTGCAAGTATGTGTGCTTCTGTATCAAAGAACTGTCTTCCGTGAATCTGCTAGTTTTTTTTTTTAAGTTAAAATTTAGTAGGGGCACCAAATTCTTACTATCTCTCTTCCCCGCTTCCTCTTATAAAATACACATTTTCCCAAGAGGGTGGAGATGCTGGATTTATTGTTAGGAACTGCATCTTTAATCATAATGAATTAAATGAGCATTGATCACAAAGTTGTTGTTAGTGATGTTGTGGGATTATGCAGTCTGTAAGATTGTGCTGTGATGCATGTATCCATGATACTGTCTTTAAAGGACAGTAGTAGAATACAAGCTTTGCTAGCTTGAACAGGTTAAAATTATGGAAGTGATATCATGTGTTGTTCTTCAGTGTTTTTCAGTGGTAAGTGCATGGAGTGTTATAAAAGGTGATGTTTGCTAAATAGACATATCAGTCCTGGGGCAGCCTTTTTGTTAAGACAGAGAAAATTTGAAAGCACGTTTCCTTGTAAGTATGTGTCTGATGGAGGCTATATCATAAATTTTTCTATTGTGTTTAGGTTCTGTTTGTAGCAGGTAAAATTACATTCTCTTGCTCAGATATTTATTGATATTTTTAGAAGGAGTGACTGTTAACAAAACCAGGCTTAATATTCTCTCTCTGAAGCAGATTCATCAGTGTTTGTTCTTTCTAGACATGCCTAGTTAGAAAAAATGGAAATGATTGTCTGTCTTTCCTGGTAAGTGAGTGTGAGTTTTTGTCATTTCCTATGGCGGATGTAGACTCCTGAGGTGGGTGTGTGTGCACACACATTTGTGAGTGAAACCATGAGATTAAAAATGACATGTCACTGTATCCTTGTGATATATTTTTATCAAAAAATCTACTCTGTCTCTTAATTTCTCAGTGATTCTCCTCTTACTTCACACTTCAAATGTTTTGTTTTAGTCAACTTCAGTTATAGAGTTAGAATAACTCATATTAATATGGGAAGCGTGCTTTTCCAACTTCGTGGAAAAGAGGTTTGGAGACTTAATTTTGTTAGAAATATGGAAATCCTTAGACATGAAAGAAAAAAAGTAATTATTGTTTCAGATCTGTATGGTGTCATTCACAGCTGACAGTTTTTGATCCAATATGACTAGATTGGGAAGGGCTGTCTTGGAAGAATATGGTATAGGGAAAAAGCAAGCTTTAATCATGTTTAATAAGTGATATCTTTTCTGTGTGTTTCCTTTAAAACGGTCCATCCTTAAAGTTACAAACAAAGTTTATTGATTGCTCCTGACAGAATCTGCATGCTGTACCAGTTTTATGACAGGAAAGGATGTCTCTGGAAAGGTAAATGGAGAACCTGGAATTCCGAAGTCTTGGGACTTTACATAGGCCATGAATCATCTGATGGAGATTTAAGCTTACTTTCCATCGGGGTTTCTTGACTGTTTTCTTTGGGGTAATGATCCATAAAATACAATCAGGTGTGTATGGGTTTTTTTTTTTAAAAGAGAGATTGTTATCCTTCAGAAAGTTTGACCACAGCCTGCCTTTTCACTGTGCTCTCTGATTTCACACATGAGCTCTGGGCTCACTTTTATCCTGAATTCAGGAAAATGAGCACAACTAGAACTTCAATTATTGTTGCTCTTTCTTGAAATGTTCATTCAGTGTTTAAGAGACTTCGTTGGTAACTCTGTCAAGAGTAGCTGTTAGTGTTTATCCACCTCTTGCTATTGCTAGTCACTTCTAATTTTTCAAAACCATTTGTGGTCTGTGATTTGGTGTTAAGAGACTAGCTATTCTCTGCCTTTGGTTTTCTAGAATACAACATGAGGTCATACCCTGGTCTTGGATTTCATGTTGTTCCCTTCATAGGAACGACACGCTGTGTTTCTCTGGGTTAGCCCCTCTGTTGAGGAGTATGTGGTGGTGTAATATTTGGCAGCCTACAAGGAGCAGGTAGGTAATTTTTTTTTATACTGCAGAAAGTATACGAGAAGGTATTTTGCATATTACAAATTTTCTTTCTGTGGACATGCACCTGGCAATGATTCTCTCATACGGCAGTAGACACCACTCAGGACAGCAGAAAAATAGAGAATCACAACTTTCAGGAATATCATTAGAAGACCACTTTTTGCAACTTGTTTTGTGAAACTAGGTTGCTGCAGCATTACTGCTTGTACAAGGGCCTGGCTGCAGGTTCTCTACATCTGGCAGCTCCAGAGGGCTCCCAGTGCCGCACCACCTGTGCCACTTGGTACTTGATGTCACACACTCGGCACCCCACTCCCAGCCCCAGTTCCATACTTTGTTTTGTATTTTTACTGAGATGTATTCTTTAGGCTTCGAAGAGCTAGCAGCAATGCAAGTGGTGGTTGTTTTTGATGGTGCCCATTTGTCAGCATTTCTGATGAATCAGCAAAGCTCTGCAGTTAATCCTAGTCCCATGTGAAGTAAGGTTATGAATGGATGGTGGTAACAAAGCTAGGAAGAGAGAGCAGTGACTGTCAGGACCACGTACAGTTTCCAAATGTTCTCTGCTGGCTTTAAGCTCCTTCTGTTTGAGGGAGCTGGAGTCTCAGTGCTCCTTTTTTGCGTGTGTATGTATAAATGTCTTGCATAGAGATCTTTAAATCAAGGGGTTATTTGTAATAGGAGGGTAAATAAGTACATCTTAAAAAGAAATACACAGAACTTGGTCTTTGAAATTAAAAAAATCCTAGAGTTAACACTTGCGTACATACCAACCAACCACTTGAAAGCAGCTAATGTGAGGGCAATATTAGCTCCAGTCTTCCAGTTGTGCAATGAACAGATTGGGAGTCTGGGCTGATGACATTTTCTGTATGGTCATGATATAAAACATAAATAAAACTTTATCCATAACAAACTTTTTGAAAACAGTAAAAGCAAGAGTAATTTCTGCCTGTTGTAATTATAAAATAGGTGTGTCATACTTGACCTGCAGAAGGGTACTACAAACTTCTGTCAAGACAGGTAACACTCAGCAGTTG